TAATAATAATAATAATAATAATAATAATAATAATAATAATAATAATAATAATAATAATAATAATAATAATAATAATAAGTCTTAACCTATTGGCATCATTCTTCTCCGGTTCGGAAGGCTTTGCCCTCAAAGCCGCACCAAATGTGCCGACACCAGAGTCGTACCCATGGCAATCATCGTCCGCCTTTTCCCCCCATCGATCACGAAAGTTGAATGTCGTCCAACTAGTTCATCACTCTTTTGATATTCATCCCAAAACCAACAGCTTCCCTCACGACACTTGAGAGTCCTAAACACTTTGCAACATCTTCCCTCACTAATAATACTTTATAACCACCGGAATCCCAAATTCCCACACACGCAGTGACTTATCATCACTTGATGTAACAAACATCATGATGTCCTCCACAAAAGTAATTGTATTAAGCGCACCTAAATGCTGATTATACTCCTGTGTAATTTGTCCTGTATTAATATGCCATTGCACAACTTCAATGGTTTTGATAGTAGCAGATCCAGCTTCATCCTCCGGCCCTGGAGGTTCCTCGTCGAAAATGGGTGGACCGTCGTACAATGGTCCGTCAAATTGCTCACTGTCGAATTCGGGGATGTCAACGCGAAACGGGCCCTCCCATAGACCATATTCGAGATCAAGTCCCCAATCGCGTCGGGCATGATATCCCCCAGCGAAGGATGCCTCCTCGCGCCAGCCCATGTCGCCGTGTTGATCGTCGTCGTCCACTAAGCCGTTCAGAGGTAGCGGGGACCACTGCCGGGGCGCCCCCAACATGGTTGCGTCCCCCACAACCGCCTCTGTCTCCCCCGCGAAAGCTACAGCCCACAGCCCCATTGCGGTTCGTTTGCACTTTCGAAACAACCACGTTGTTAAACGTCAAATGCAAATCCTCGATCCCCTTCGAAAGATCGACAAACCAATCTGTGAAACGCACGTCCAACTCTTGAAATCGGTAGTCAATCTATTGAAACTGATCGTTAAAGGTTGCATCACGTTGTTTGTTTGCGGCATCTTATCGTCCCGGAAACATCGTGAATCGTACTGACTCTGATACCAACTGATGTAGGGAAGCGTACGAGTGGAAAGGATAAACGAGTAAACGAGATACTTTCTCGTAAAACACGTAAAACTCAACAATATCTTTTTTTATGCAATATCAACTCCCCAATAACAAAGCATAAGACCCCTTAAATAAAGCCCTCAAACTATACCCTAGCTTATTCTCCAAGCTAGTAAATATTAAATAATATTAATTGCTATAATAATAATAATAATAATAATAATAATAATAATAATAATAATAAGTCTTAACCTATCCGCATCACTTAGTCATCCTCCGAATTCTTACTCAATCTCCATGAAATTAATGCAAGATAATATACCAGTAAGTATTTAGTTGAGTCTTCAACACTTCACATTAGTTTGATACAATAATCTAACTGTTTTAGTGGTCCATGGAAATGATTGTAGCTTTCTTGTAGTGTTGGATGATGGTTGAACAGTTAAGTACACCATAAACGTTGCTAACTTCAACTGTCTCCATTATAGAACATCTTTCAGAATTATAAGTAACATCAATTACACCAATTATGTCACGCCCACAATCTCCCATTGTGGATCCTGCTTCTCACTCTCTTATACGCTTACAATAGAGCATTGAGAGAGCGATGACACAGGCTGACATACAGATTCTTTAATACTTGAATTATGTTGATGCTAGTCTCTGTATACTTTCTCTATTTTGCTCTATTGTAGGCGTGTAAGAGAGTGAGAAGCAGGATCCACAATGGAGATTGTGTGCGCGACATCATTGGCGTAATTAATGTTATTGATTTGAACCATAATTGGTCAACTTTTTTAATTTCTTGGAGCAAAAATGGACAACGAATCATGACCTTGAAAAATATACGCCTAATATTCACGATTATTGTATTATTCCCTTCTTGAGGTGTAAGTAAATTAAAAGAACTACGTGGACTTTGATTCCTTATAAGGGGATACGTAGGCACCTTAATTGACATATATATAAGGATACTTATTAAATGTCAATTTAGCTCAAGTCCATATTTGTCTACTGAAACTTCGAAAACCTTTCATTCACCTCCTCTTCGGTGGAATTGCCAAGTTTCATATCTCATCTTGTGCAGTTCAACTTTACGCATTTCAAGTTTTTTCCTCTTCATATGCGTTTGATCAACTTTACGAAAACTTACTCCACATAGGTTAATTCAACAGTACCTTGAGTTTCATCAACGTCATGCAATCCGACTCCAATACACAACCTCGAGTAATATCGTCGTTTTTTTTGGTAGTGACCGCAAACATGTTACTTAATGGAAGTTTGGCCACGTTATCATCTTTGTCGTACAAGATGTTGATACCATCATCCCACAGTTCCAGAAGGGTCAGACATTTTTCCACACCACTAATACTATTGAATTGTGGTATCAAACTAATGTCAAGTGTTGATGTTTCAACTGCAATTTTACTATTATATTATTTTGCGTTCCGTTCCTCGAAATTGAGTAAGTGTTCAAAAGATAACTAACTTTGTGTAATTGTTCTCTTGTTGTGCTATTGCAGGCGTAATTTAGAGTTGAAAACATAATATATAATGAAGACTATTGACATGGTACCATTGTCCTAAATGAAGTTGATGTTTTAAGTTCATGTTCAAACATTAACGACAAGTACGACTGTGATGTCACGTCAATATTCTTCATTATGTATTATACTTTCAACGCTAAATTACGCCTGCAATAGCACAAACAAGAGAAGGCTTATACAGACTAATTTGTCATTTGAATTCTTACTCAATTCTGAAGAAAGGAATGCAAAATAATGTAATGGGTAACTTGCAGTTGAGTCATCAACGCTTGACATTAGTTTGATACCACAATCTCAATAGTATCAGTGGTGCGGGAAAATGTCTGTACCCGTCTGGAACTGTGAGATGATGGTATCAACATCTTGTACGCCAAAGATAATAACTTGGACAACTTCCATTAAGTAACATGTTTGAGGTCACTACCAAAACGAAAGAGGATATTACTCGAGAATGTGTATTGGTGCCGAATTGCATGATGACGTTGATGGAACTCAAGATACTGTTGAATTAACCTATGTGGAGTAAGTCTTCGTAAAGTCGATCAAACTCATATGAAGAAGAAAGAACTTGAATTGCGTAAAGTTGAACTGCACAAGATCAGATATGAAATTTGGCAATTCCACCGAGGAGGAGGTGAATGATAAGGTGTCATCTTGGGACTAGACGGTGCCGAGTTACATTGATTTGGCGGAGAGGTATCCCAGGTTTCAGCAACCATGGTCGGTCGAGGGCATCATCTTGGAACCCGTAAACCGACCTAGGCTGCGGAAACCAGAGATACCTCTCCGCCAAATCGATGTAATCCGACACCGTCTGATCCCAAGATGACACCCTATCATTCACCTCCTCCACGGTGGCCTTCCCAAAACAATCAGTCATGGTGGGTTAACGGGTTCTAGAATGTTGGAAATAGTTACAAAAGAGTTTGTGTTAATACTTGGAGTTGTACCTTGTTTTTAACAGTACATTTTTTTTTTTTTTTTTTTGGGAAGTGAAAAATACCAAAAAAAAAAAACCGCCGAACTGGCCGAAAACTGGCAGTTCCGGGCCGGTCGTACGAACCGGCCCGTGAACCGACCCGCCATGCCTAAACCAATCATACCATCTTTTTCCAAATTAAATGTTGTTAACCAAAAAAAATCCACTTTGAGTAATAATTTTTGTATCCAAACACTTATATTTCGTTTCATTTCTCATTTCATTCTATTAAATGTCATTTCATATTTCATTCTATTAAATGAACGACACGTGTGCAAAGTAAGCATCATCATGTATATGTATCATTCATCAATTGAATGAAACACAAACTGAAATGAAACATGATTTTTTTTTCATACAACCATGTTTAAAAGTTGAAAAAACCCTGCATATTCCATTAGCAATGAACACCACTCTGTCTTTGCAAATTCTCCAACAAGGGCAAAAATAGGTACTCCACTTTTCCCTTCCCCAACCAAAATACCAATAGCATACAAACGCAAACAATTGAGATATACACATCATTAATGTTTTTGTGTAATCGATTACAAGGAGATAATTAGTCTGGTGTAAGAAAAATCAGCCAGCTGCCCAACTTCTATTCCATACATTTCTTTTCACAGCATGGCAAGTGAGACAAAACAACTCCGGCCAACTAAAGTAGTCGGCAGCTTCTTGCGAAAAGCAAGTCATCTTTATTCAGATGCTTGGGCTCTGGCAGTTTGAAGCATTTCTACTATGAGTGTTTTCACATCCCTATGCAGCAGTACGAAAACATAATTGAGACTAAATTATTAATATCAGTCAACTCTCAGCACTGTTTAAGCAACTACCGGGAATTTCATTACTTACTTTCTGTCTCCAGCTCGCCTCGTGAATGGGATACGGAGCTTGAAAGTGTTCCCCTGATAACCGGCCTTCAAAAGAAAAACTGATGATGTTTATAACTCAACAAGCAATCTTGAGGAATAATAAAAGACTATAATAACTTGAAACCAGAAAAAGAAGAACATAAGCTAAGTTTCCAGGACTTGAAAGAAAAAGGAGGAAAAAATAGATTTCTGGAAGAAGCAACTATATGGATATAGGAAAAGTTAAGAAAACCATGCAAACTAGGACATTATGGGAGATATCAAAATAACCTTCACATTGAACCCCAGACTGTCCATGTCTAACATGTAAGCGTAGTCCACCTGAGAAATAAGTGATTTCAGATATAGAAGTTATTAT